ACACACACACACACTCTCTCACACACACACACACACACACACACGCTGTCACTCTCTCTCACACACACACACACACACACACACAAACAGCACTGGAGAACAAGAGCAGAAGGACAGTTACGTTCACATCGGCTCCTTTAGACAGCAGAAACTCCACCATCTCGGCCTGACCGCAGTCCACAGCGTAATGAAGCGGCTTGCGGCCTCCTTCCAGAGTCCTGTTCACATCCTCAGCCTGCACAACAACACACAGCACACCGTTACATTACAAGAACAAACACTACTTTAGATTTAATAGAGGATAGGATACTTTAGTCATCATAAATATATTAATATTGAATATTATATTTATTATTATAAAAGATTATACTATTCAATATCATTAGTAGTTTGTTTCTTTATTTATTTATGTTATTATAACAAATTATATCATCATGTCTGCTGTCTAAATATTAAACATTTATTATTCAACAATTATATGATTATGTTGAATACTGAATTATTCAATATAACATTTTAAATTTTTTTGTATGATTTAGGATACTTTAGTCATCATAAATAATACTGAATATGAAATAACATTATACTATTCTAATATTTTTTATTATTATTATGATGATAATATTTAATTACATTATATAATGGGGTTAACGTTCATCATTAAATATAATTAAATAATATTTAATATTCAATATAATTATATAGTTATATTGGCTAATGAATAATTTAAAATGTAACAATTAAATAACTTTTAAAATATTTTCATATGATTTAGGATACTTTAGTCATTATGAATAATATTGAATATTAAATAATATTATATTATATAGAGTTTACTATTTAATATTTATGTATTTGTTATCATTATAATAATACTGAATATTATGCAATATGATTTTAGGGTAAATATAATAAACAAATTCTTATACAAAAATTAATCTTAATATTATTTAATATAATTTTATTAATATAATGTAGGAACGTTTTGTTTTAATCTCAAATGTTTCATAATTTGAAGCATTATTTCATTCACTGAATCACCCAAGATAGAAACGGACAATTATTTAATCTATAAAATCACAAAACACACAAACAACATCACCTGCTCATCTGAAGTCTTCCATTAGACCTTATTCAACTGTTCAGATTATGTTTATTTCGTTAAAATAAATATATTTCTCATGGAAGCACTGCTTTTATTACATGTTTTGACACTTCACTTTTTTACACTATTTGTGCCATTAATATTTTCATTGTGTAATAATCACTCCACTGTGTCTCGTATCTAGCTGTGAGTATTTAACACGAACCTCAAGGGTTTAACTGCTTAAGTCTGATGATGAGCAGCACATTCACACAGCAAACCATCATGTGAACCTGCTGTGAATGTGAACTGAGGTAAACCGCTGAGCTAAACATATCACACACACACACACACACACACACACTCAACACTGAATGAGCGGCTCCAGATCTGCAGTTCCACTCTCATCTGATGCGTTAAAGTTATGCTGTAAAGTGATGATAAAGGTGAGATATTCTGAGGCTGACAGAAACGAAACCACACGACTCTCCATTCAGAAGCTGGAGCTCAAAGCACCTGCGGCTTCCTGCCCACATCCTCAAACCACACTCACACTCACACTCACAATCACACACACTCACACACAATCACACTCTCACACACACACTCACACTCACACACACACACACACACTCACACTCTCACACTCACAC